TGTTGAGGTAACCTCATTCTCCACCTAATTCTTGTTTGCAAAAACTTTATTTTAGGAAGTTTCCTCATTAGGAGACAAAAAAGATAGGAAGGATGCCTAATTAATATACATTAATTATTATAAATAAATTGAGTTTTATTGAGTTTTAAGGACATAAGGAAAATCCTCTTGCTATAATTACATTGTCAGACCACAGTAAGAATAGTTGTGTTAAGATTGGTTTCTAAAAATAAAAGTATGTGTTTGAACACATCCTTATCATGTAGTACTCTCAAAAGACAGCCAAGACTGGTCATGGCTCCCCAATGAGTATACATTTCATGACCACTTCAGCCTTCCTACTATGTAATCAAGATACTACAATTCATGCAATAGAATTAAAGCCCAAGAACATGTCTGTTAAAGAAAACCAGGTAAATTTTTTCAACTATTAAAAAAAAAAAGCCTTCCTCCTGCTGTGGGTTTGTTTCTTTTTAATTTATCACCTACCAAGTACATAGCTTCATAATAAAAATTGATCTGCGTCCTATCTGGGGCAGAAGTAGGTTTCCATAAGATAAGGGAGAGATTGTCAGAAAATATTTAAGCACATTAAAGGAGCTCAAGTCACAGGAGCATTAAAGTATCTAATGGAACATCTATTTATATTTTTGAGAAATCCTGAAGAACTGGTGAAGTACTGGGGGTTCTGAGAAAAGTAAATGTAGTTCCTATCCTCAGAAAGGATAAAAGTGAAAGTCCAGCAAATCACAAGCCAATCATTCTGATATCAACACATAGAAGATTCAGGGACAGATTATAAAAAGCTCAATCTGTAGGTAACTTGTCACTAATACAGGATGGATTTGACAAGAACATGTCTCATCAAACTAATCTTGTTTATAAATTAGGTTACTTCTTAATAGGATGGGGACCCCGGGTGTTTCTCTGGTTCTACTGTGGTTCTGGTCCTCTGCTTTTAACTTTTCATTGCCCAAAAGTGAGCAATTAAATCAAATGCATAACTTTTGGCAATGAAAAATTACAGATGAGGAGGTATTCAGTCAAACTGCAAGAAAGAGTTAATGTCCTTTTTAGCACATACACATGTGCACACACTAGCACACATACAATATAACCCTGATAAGGATCAAGCCTCTCCACTTACTTGACAATAAAGAACAAAAACAAACAACATAGTTTCTAGCTGCATATTCAAAGTAATCTGTAGCCTGACCTTCACCTCCAAGTAACTGTGCAAAGGATTTAAAAAAAAAAAAAAAAACCTTGTGATGACTTGAAGATTAAGAACATATACTTCCATGAACTAGATGGATACCAGTCAACAAAAGCTTATGCCACAATAATAGTTCTTCCAGGCACCACAAAACAGATTTTCCTGCTATGGACTAATATAACCATTGCCTAAAACTTAGACCAAAGTACTGAAGCCTTAAAAGTCAGTTCCACTGAATTCTATGGAACTTATTTCCAAGTAAGAGTCTGCTGCCTCATAAAGAACATTCTAATCTATTTTCTGATCATTAGGGTCTGGGAAAATATGCTCAAATGAACATTAATTAAAAAGCTTGATTGCCCAAGAAATGTGTTCTTTGTTGAAAAGAACAGCCTCAAAGTTCTATATTTAAAGTATGTAATGACTCAGTTACTAGCACTGCTTTTGAAACAGCAATCATCTAGTTAAATTTTCACCAAGACTGACAGAACTAATGCCCCTATCAGGGACACTGCAAAAAGGATGTCACAATCATTATTTTGTACTGAACCTTTTCCTAAAGAGCTCAGTCCTGTTTTATATCTCCACAGTGCTAATCCTGTGATGTATAATTAGTTTAAGATTATCTAGTCCAAAGTTACCCACTGAATCTTATGGACAAGAGGCATTTGAAATGTGATTTGCCCAGTCCAATTTCAGTGCTCTATCATCACACCATGCTTCTCAAACTACACAGTTTATTACATTGTACTAACTGAAAGGAACCACTTCAATGGAATTCTACTCATACAGGATGACTGTCACCTGTTTTCCTCCCCTGGTAGTTTCTCAAAATCTGCTGTGCAGAATCCATAAATCCCACAAAGCAAATTTTGGGAAAACACATAGGAGAGGGAAATTGCACTTCTCCCCCTTCAATGGGCAGGCGTTCTGTCAGCAGGATTAGCTAATTGTATTTCAACCAGAGCCGGATATTCAGTAAGACCTGTATTTTTAAATTCTCTGTAATTTAAAGACCCAATCTACATCATGCGAGTTATTTTTATTACAAAGAAATGAAACAGGGCAGCCTATAATCAGAGGTCAACTACTCCTACTTATCCTACTCTGAGCACACACCAAGTTCCAATAGAAATAATGGGACAGTAGTATATGGAAGAGTATCTTAAGATAAAAAACTGAACAGCAAGGCTAAGTGAATTCTGAAAAGAGAAAGATCAAAATCCTCCAGAAAATCCTTTTGCTACTCCTAGCTTCTACTGGAATGAATTTTAGTTACACAAGGGCAATAGAGCAGTTTTTGCACAGCTTCTATTTAGAGGAGCTGCAGAGGATAGTTGCAGAGAAGAACCGAGTTTGTGGGTGGGTGTGGGGTCAGGGTAAACAATCTGCAATTACAAAGAACACTGCCGGATCACTCCACCCAGGGTGGCAGGGCAATGCATTTTGCCACTTGTTCCCATATCATCACTCTGAAAAGAAAAATCATGCCATTGAACACAATGAGGGAAAATAATAGCAGCCTGAACCTGGCTTAGGTTACAGGCCTGTTCTGCAAGCATGTTAAGGAGAGTAGCAAGACTTCAGATTGAGTGGATTCAAGGTCACCCACAGACACACCGCACACTGGACACAAATGCCATTAATAGCAGTAATACTCCTATAGCTGCTGATTACCACTGGTACACCAGGTGCTTCCAGGAAAGTAGTGCTTATGCACATCTAAACCCCCTCCTTCCAGCCTTCAGTGATAGTTAGGATTGCTCTCCTCCATGCTAATTTCAACTATGATTTTGCATACTTCCCATTCATTTCAACATGGCCAGCACAAGAAACCCTACCTTTCCTTCAATGATAGGATTATACAGGAGAACCATTCTCTTTGCTGTTCCTATTAATTCTAATAAGACACAAACAACAAAACTTACAAGCAGTTTGTTCCTGATATGAAGCAAGAGTTGGCTCTAATATGGAAAAAAGCAAATAAAAATCTAGAATTAACTATCTTCATAAATTTTATTCCTACACGGTATCAGGTGGTCTAACAAACTTCACAGAAATGTAGAAATATAGTATTACTGTTGGAAAAATCATTCGTGCAATGGCCCTACTGATTTTTATACTCTTGCCTCAGATGCAAATTAAACTAAGTTATTTGGTTACAGGCAACATAAGAGAACTAGACTAAATTGTATGTAGGAAAACAGTTAAACCAAAGGTTCATTTGTTCCTCTGAAAATCAGAAATCCAATTAAATCAACTTTCCTTCCACAAGTGGAATATTTGGTATTACATCACACATTTAGACATACTTACCACTTTCCTAGGAGGATGCACTATGGCAAACAGATGAATAAAAACTTGGAATAGGATTTTTTTTCCCTGAGATTATCAATCAATCAACTAGTTTCCCAGGGCTCCCTCCAATCCAGTTCAATTCTCCTTTGTTTTCATCAAAACAAATCAATGCTGGCAGAGGATTTTTTTTTTAATTAAGACAGAATTCCTTTGAGCAAAAATACAAAATTCTTCTCCTTTCACAACAGTAAAAAAAGGATAGTTGTGGAGATGGATGAGAACAAGTATTTCTTCCAAACATAATTTTCAAAGAACTACAATAAACCACAAATATAAGAAAACAGTCTATTTTTATCTTCAATTGACAAGCATAAAACCAATCAGGCCTTTACTAATAAACACACTTTTCTTAAAGTTGATAGATCTCTTTCCTCTTGCCCAAAATCAAATTACACTGGTGCATATGACTGGAAATGTGTAAGATATATACACTTGGCCCAGTTTAAGTGTGCATGCAAAAAAAAGTATTGGTTACATGCAGTTCCTGGTTGAAAACTTGATTATATCCTACCTTTTGCCAATAAAATAAAGTAAAACAAAGATATAGGTAGGATCAAATTGTCAGTCTCACTTGTTTAATTCATTGTAATTTATGTTTCAAAATTAGTGTATTTAGGAGTGGAATCAAAGTTAAGTCAACTTTTCCAAAATATACTCTTAAGTTCTCAAACATACAATTATAAAGGACTAAATGCTGTTGAACACAGTGCTACCTCGTTCAGAATAAAAAGACAGTAGATTGTCCACACAGTTACAATGTAAAGATTACTTAATTTGCTTATTTACAACTACTAGGCTCACCTTCACTATGCTTACCTATGTAACTAAGTTTCAATTTCGAGTAAATTTATTTGGGACTGAAAACTGGGGCAATTCAACAATACCAAATTGAGCATCATTAATACTGCAATCTTGAACATGCTTAGTTGGAAAGATACGAAGAATAGGCTTTGGATAGGGAGGTTTTGGTGTGGGGGGGGGATAAGTATCTTGAAGATTAATTTGGGCAACTATTTTCCAAAGTTCAAGCATCACAAAAACTAGTAAAAATGGTAAGTATATTTGGTAAAATTAAAACAATTCTGTATGAAATTAAACTGTAGAGGGCTATATTACAACACACACACACACACACACACACACAGAACTGGCAAGCTCTGCACTCTGCAAAATCCTGGCAGCCGGCCTTCGTGTTCAGGGATTTGGGGAAGTTCCTGAAAGCAAAGCCTAGGGGGAAAAAAAGAAATAAAGGAGTTCTGCCCCCTTCCAGCGGGCCCCTCTACTCCCCTTCCTAGCAGCCCAGCCAGGCCTTTGCCTTCCTCTCCCCCCTCACTCTAGAAATACGTACACGCACAAAATGGGGGGACGCCCCGATTTTTAAGCTCTTTCAACAACTTTTGGCCTCCTTGCTGGGCCTCTTTCTCACCTCTCGTCAGGGAGCATAAACCGCAGACCAGGAGACTCCTCAGGACGGCGCCCATCTTCTCTTCTCTGGCTCTCACCGGCGAGGAGAAGAAGAAGAAGGGGGTGGCGGCAGTGGCGGTAGTAGCGGCGGGGAAGGCGAAGGAGGCTGAGGAGAGCAGCAGCAGCTCCTCTGCCGCCGTCTCATACTTTCGGGGTGGCGGGGAGAAAAGAAGCAATAGCAGAATAAAATTTTGAGAAGCGACAAGAGAGACGCTGCCGCAAAATGTTTCTTTCCTCTGCTATGTTTTGTTTTTATGAAGACTACTTCACCTCCAGCTCCTTGCCCAGCCAAAAAAAGCGGGGGAAGTAAACACGATCCTCCATTTCTGCCTCAACCGCCTCCTCAATGCAAAAGACTGTCGCTGTTCACGCAATTCCTTTCCAACTCCTTCCTTCCTCCTCTGACAACCTCTTCCTCCTCCTCTCTGGAAGGCTGAGAGAGAGAAGAGGCGCAGGGACACATTCCTTTCCTATCTCCGCTGCCGCCGCCTCCCCTCTCCTCCTGGATTCTCGCATGCAAAAATCCCTCCTTCAACCATCTCCTCCTATTGCAAATGTATCCCCACATACATATGCATAGAGGGGGGAAGCACTTGTTCTTTCAGAAGCTGCTTTCCCTTTTCCGCTCAGGGAAGGAGAAACTCCCAAACACTGTGGGAAACGGTGGTGATCCCCTCCCCTCGGAACACACCTCCCCACGGGAAAGAGAAAACAACAGCCCTGTCGCATTCCTGAGGGATTCATTTACCTCTCTCTCTTTTAATCAAGTGATTAGGTTCTCGGCTGCATAACACTGTGGACCTGAGAATTGTCGGAACTACTTTCAGGGACATACACAGCAAGAGCAGCAGCACAAGCACAAAGAAGGCTGAGCAGCAGCTGCCTCCTCCAGGTGAACGTGCAGTCCTGGCTCGACATAGGCAGGCACGGGCGTGAGGCAAGGGAGAGGAGAGGGAAATGTGTTACGTTTTGTGTGGTTGTTTAATCCCCTGCTTTACTTTGAAATATTAACTATCCATAACCACTCCGCAGAGGTAGGCAACCGGCTTGAAGGGTACACAAGGGACTTACCTAACTTAATATAGCCTGATCTATAACGAATCAACCTATTTCCAGGAGTCCACAGGAATTTTGACCAACCCCTATGGATTCCTTTGTTCTTTCGTCCTTCAAAACCATAACCCTACTAGCTTGCAAACGAGATAAGCATGTGTTTTTGAAAGTACAGGTAGCACTAAGCTGAGAGCCAGGATTGGCTGTGGTTATTGCTCCCTGTTGAGAATTGCTTCCAGTGGAATGGCCTTGTAAGTGGAATGGCCTTAAGACAGTGAGCTTTGAAATATTTGGTTCAGCCATGCAGTTACAAGGTGACCTTATCAAGGCCCCTATTCTCTTCAACCTGAGCACTCTCTTCCAAGTACAAGAACACTGGATTATCTTGCAGACTTGTTGGAAGGACTACTTGGATCATTTATATACTATTTGTTAATGCTAAAATAAACCCTGTACAAATAGTAAGTTTTCTTCCTGTTATTTTTAATACATTAATAAAAGAGTGATGGCATGCCTCATTCTAACTTGCAACTTATGTCTAGTGGTGTGTGTCATTACTGAATGTGGTGGGGCTTATGCAAGTGAATATGTGTAGTATTGTTGCATTATACAGTCAGCTGTTAATATATAAAATGACAGGTGCTGTGCTGGGGTGATAGATGTGAAGGCCAGAAGAAAAAAAAATGGGATGAACATGTTTTTTAAAGTTTTTCCATTAGAAATAAAGGGCATTTGGGGGAACACCTGGAAAGAAATTCCTACTGAAATATTTTGTCATTTGGAATGAGTGAAATACTTTTAAAAATAAGGTTTTACTCACTCAACATGTGTATTGTGAAGATTCTTAAGACAATCCTGGTTATCTTTATCCCCAATATATCAAATTGCTCTTGTAACATTTGTCCCAGCCAAGGTATCCCTGGTCTAGTTCCTTGTGTATACATGGAAGACAAATGCAATGGGTCATGTCATCCAGGTTCAGATGACACAGCAACCCATCCAATGTCAAGCCCAGCTACAAGACATGAGTTGTCAGGGTGGGTAATAACCCAAAACCCACCCACTCTGGCAAACCTATTGTGGGTTTGCATCATATGCTAATCCACTGTGGCTCATTAGTATGTTATGTGAACCCAGTCATTCACCCAGGTTACTGCTGGGTTGGGTGTATGCTTCTTCCTATGAAAGGACGTTGGGACCATTGGAGTGTTCTGCACCTGGAAACTGATGGAAACATAGGGCTTTTGAGAATCCTTGAGGAGTTACCATTTGCATGGCTGAAACTCCTGCCCAAACCCTAGTGCAATATGAAAATGACACAGGTGACTGACAGGGTTTTCTCCTCATGCCCTCTTCTGGCAATCAAATTTGTGTATCCACTTGGTTTATCAAGGACCTGCATGTAAATCAACAGCAACGGAGATGGTCTAAATTCAAATGAGGAAAATAGTGTAAAATAAAAGTAAATCTAACCAATATAAAAAGAACCTGTCATCAGTGCTCCATTCTGATGTTGATAGTGGTGAATAGCAATGCATAATACAAAGCAGGGGCAGAGAACTGTGCAATATAATGACATGTCATGCATTTCCATAACCTTCAGATGCCTAGAAGGAAGATAAAAATTATGTTTGGTAGTCTGCTGTGACTCATTTGCTGAGTAATTTGAGGACAAAAGGTGCCTCGATTCTGCCTGTGGTTTGGAAGACACTTGTTCTGCAGCTCCATCAGTGAACTTGTCTGAAGCACCCTCTGGTCCCTTTTCCTTAGAAAAAACATTAGTGACTTCAGACAATGATTGGACAAGATGTTTGGTGGGTTACATCCAACATCCAGCACTTGAGTTTCACTTCTTCTGCCTTAATCTAAGGGAAGGGGATGACTGGCTGGGCATTGCCTCCATGCAAGACAAAATGGTTCCAGACAACTTGAATGAGTTGACATTCACATGGTGGGCATGTCATGAGCAGAGCTGGCTGGAGCCAGGGGTCAGACTAGATGGCCCGGGAGGCCCCTTCTGACTCACGCTGTTTCTATGTTTCTGTGAAGCCAATCCTAAAGCAGCATTTCCTGAACTAAAAGATTATAACAGCTAACAGCTGGTTGCAAACAAGCTATCCTGGGCAGGATTCTCAAGCGGATGGCTGCTGTTCAACTAAAGGCACTAATGGATAGAATCAATTGTCTCCTTTTGGTCTGATATTGGGCATGATTTTGCACAGAAACTGTCTGACCTCTGGCTGATTATCTTTGCCAGGACATAGCAGTGTGTGACAAATTTTCCTTGACCTCTCAGTGGTTGGCTTGGAGGTTGGAGGCACTCCATTAAAGTAGTTGTGCTTTAACCTAAAATGGCAGTCATAAAAGGTGGTACTGCAAGACTACTTTTTTTTGAGCTATAGGATCCCATAAGATTCCATCTTGTCCTCTGCTCTATTCAATATCTACATGACATGTAAGACCCTGCCACCCAGAGGTAACATGTCCTTAACTACCCTTTGTGCAAACCATGAAGCCCCAACTACTTTCCTCTTAACTGATCAGCCTTCAGTTCATGAGGAATAAATCTCCAGCCAGGTTTGCACAACATACAACCACAGTGGTTTTTTACCCTTGTTGGGCTGGTGTGTCATGTGAATGTCAACAGGGTATGTTTGGTTTTTAGAAACCACAAACAGAAATTATAGTCTGTTTTATGGTTTCTCCTAACCATGATGGCAGGCTGTGTCATCTAGGCCCAGAAAACATGACTTACTATGGTATCAAGGCTAAAACCAGAGAACAAAAATCTTCATTGGAACAGGAGCAGGTGATAAGCGGTTGGTGCCAGGAAAGACGGGCCACTCAGCTGATTCCCATACTGGCTCCCCTTGCATGCACCTGAGGGAAGCTTCCCCACATGTGAATGGGAAGGATGAGGCTCAGCTGAATGGCAGTGCCCAGTTGTAAGCCTCGCTGCTCAGCTGATTCCCCTGCTACCACTGCCCATGTGCCCCAGAGTTAAGTCCCTTGTGCACATGAATCAGTAGAGTGGTGATGCCTGCTTGGGGCTGCACTGCTCAGCTGATGCTTCCACTCCCCCCACACACACACACACATTATCACACCCACTTGGAAGAAAGGTGTTCAGGTGGATGCCAGGTTGGAGGTGCCTCTCTTACATTTAAGAGCAAGAAAAGGGGATGAGCATGGGAATCAACTGGGCAATTTCTGCCATCAACTAGGCTCAACCACCCAGCTGATTCAACACTCTTCCTGCTGATGCACATGAAGGGCTTCTGTCAGGTGTCCAAGGAGGGAGCAGAAAGGGAATTACGTTAGTGGCACTGCTCCTTCCCACAGCACTGTCCAGCTGATTCTCAGCCACCACCACCTTTTGCCTGAGCATACATCTGATATCCTCCCACTGTTCCAGCAGCCTACTCCAGCAGGAGCCCTGTGTATGCAACAAAGAATGTCTGACAGCCACAGTAAGCAATCACCCCTGCCAAAAGTATTTCTAGGCAAATACAGCCAGTAAGATGATTCAGTAGGAAACTACAGGGTAACTGCAGCCCTGGAAATGTGGACTTGATACCAATGTAGAATAGAGAATTGTAGTAGTAAAGAGTCAACACAGAGGATAGCATAACGGTATGGAATCTTGAGTTTATTCTGAGATAAACTAATGTAAGAATATGCAAATACACTAGTGCAGAAGGAATAACACTAATCACTACTATCAGACAGTTATAGGATTTCACACAAGCTTACAAAAGGGTTGATTGTGCAGAAGTGGTATGCAGGATAAGTTGAAGCAAAGGGAACAAAAGTTTGGTTCTGCCTACTAAAGAAAAACTTCAGAGAAATGCCTTCCCTCTTGATTACTTTTATATTCACCTTGATTTCTTTTCATTGATGGTAACATAGCCCAATATTTGGAACAAAAGCTGACTATCAAGGTTGATTAGAATAGTTGGATTAGTGTTCTGACCTTGATGGACTTTGAGGTAACAGATAAGACTTCAAGATTGGATTATTTTTCCCCCACCATTGTTTAATTGGGCAATCAATGTAGATGTACCCTCATGGGTTAGCCAGATGTATCATGACT